TACCATTAAATCACTGGTCAATTGTTCACAGTACTTCAAATATTTCTATTTCTATTATGGCCTTAATTATCGCATTTCTCATGACATTCTTCTATTTACAAGGTATGAATTTCTATAATTTCTTTCGATTTTTTTTCTATTTACCAAAAAAAAAAACAAAAAAACAAAATAAGCATATGAAGTACATTTAAGGTGTAATAATATGTTGACCTCTAAGAATAGTGCGTTTCAAAAGATCAAAGATATATGTTGTACTCTCTGTATATGTTTGCACAATTAACTCTATCAGGAATGGAATTCTATTTCTATTTACAACATTCAGCAACAGCTCTATGATGTGACCCTTTGAGAATATAAATACAATGAATTTTTGAATATCGTTAAAATATATCGTTGCAATTTACCAACTAATTCAAGTAAATAAATGCAAAGGAAGAAGCATTGAGCGCTAATAAGTAAGCCTTAAATAAAGGCTTGTTTATTTATTTTGGAGCAGGTCTATTCACTTTTTATTATAACATTATGAATTTCATAGTTGACAATTAAATGCAATAAATTAAAACGAAGAAGTTTATTATAATGATGAGAAATTGATATAAGGCATTTGATATCATCAATAAATTGTTTTTCTTTTTTTTTAATGCATCACATCAAATGGACAGAATGATGAGAAAAGAAATATATGAAATAATGAATTTGTAATTTTTGACAGATTTTTGTTTACTGCAAATCTTTTTGCACAATATTTTTCTTATCAGTATAAATGGATTTAATAATCAAGAGTTCCTTGTATTAGCTCTCTAAAATAATCACTGATGAAAAAATTGGAGCTTGAGATAATTTCCTTTCTTAACAAAGAAAAGAGTTGTAAAATTGACATTTTTCTGTCTGTTATTTAAATTTTAAACACAAAATATCACGTATTGAAACAAACAAATTAATTGATTAAAACAACATGGCTTAATTTTTTATTCGCAAAAAAAAAAAATTTTTTTTTTTAAGAAAATCACCGTAGAGTGCTAAATTAGTGAGCTTGAAATTAATTATATTATTTGTTTAGTTAATTTCTTGTTTTCGTTTTTTCCTAGCTGTTTTTTCTCTCTTAATTACGTAAATGACATTCTTATATTTCAAATTCCAGTAATAAATGAAAAGATTTTAATTCCATAGATAGTAATTTGCATTAAAAAAGAATTGAGCTCACTTTTAGACGCTTTTTTTTTAGTGAATTCATTTCAAAAAAAAAAAATAAATAAATAAATAAATTTGCTCCTCAATTGAGCATTATAAGTGGTTATTTGTAGATATATCCATCAGTTCTCAATGCCATAAATTGTCATGAAGGATAGATTTGTCGTGAGGAATAAACTATTTTATTCCTTATATTAGAAAGTTCTTTTCAACACACTCTCAAAACATTTCAAATTTAGCTCATCACTAAATTTTAAAATTAAAATAATTGAAATACAATTTTTTGTTGATTATTTGCAATTTGAACAAAGTATAAAAAGACAAAAGAAAAACAAATACATTGGCGCAATTTACATCTTTTTCTTTGACAAAATCCATTCAATGGATTTAGAGAAAGAGAGCGGAAGAGAGATGAGTACAGCTAACTTTTTAATAATTTGTTTATTTTAACTTTATTACTTGTTGGGTCTTAAATGTCAAAACATCATCATTGACTAACTATTTTTGATTCATCACTTAGCTGGCCAGACTTATCACTTAATCCGCTAGGCTCATTAATATCAAGCATATATAGTTGTATAGTTGTTGGAAATTTCAAGATATAGCAAATAGCATATAGCTTAGAAGTGAAAGTAATTTAAAATTTGATAAATAATTGGTTATTTCTAATAGCTTATATGAGATTGTGAAATGAAATTAAACAATCCATTACGATGGCGATTTAAATTATATCAACGCTATCGTAAATTTAACTCGCTTTCTTTTTTTTTTTTTTTTCTAACTAAGCAAGCAGAAAATTTTATGAACCGAAACTAATATAAAACGTCAAAGTTCTTCAATTCATTTTGATAAATTCAATTAATGGAATGTTTGGAAGAGAAAGAGAGAGAAAGTACTTTTTAGTCAAAGTTTTCCAATTATAAAGAAGTGCTTATGAAAATGAATTTTGGTCACGATTTAAAAAATAAGATCATAATAAAAAAAAAAAAAATTATAAATAACCTACTTAATTTAGTAGCAGAAAAAAATCGTTAAGCTAAATTTCATTTCCATCTATCCTGTAAACTTATATCTTTTAAATCACATATCAATGAATGGTCAATTAAACCAAAAAAGTTATTTCTTCATTATTATTCAAAAATAGCAATTGATTATTTGTTATTAGTAAGTTTAAGAATGTAATTTTGTTATTATACTTATTGGTGTAATTTGATATGACATAAATGAAATTACATTAGAATATCTAGCAAAGCTATCTATCTTCATCAACTCACCGATCCTTCATTATAATTTGCAACATTCATTAATGTTAATAGAAGTGTTAATCGGGATAGATTAATAACTACGCTTTCATAATCTTACCATTTAGTAATCATTCCACTAATTAACATTATTATATACATTAGATTTATTTAAAGAAAAGCAGCAATTAATAATGTTTTAATTATAATACTTTTAAGTCATCAAATTTAATTCCTTGCAAATTTATGATAGTTGAAAATTTTTAATTATTAAATTTTGAAATCATTGCAATATTTTAACATTGATAACATTTTACATTTAAGATTGAGTAACGTTAATAAAAATCGTACTGGTTTTTAAAAATATTTCAATAAAAAAAAAAAAAAAGAAAAGAAAAGCAAAGTGTATTTGTCATGCAAAATACATTTTTGTTTACTGTTACGAATCACGTGGTCATTTTATTGATAGTAAAAAATATCAATTTAGCTAGCATTAATTAAGAATTAACCTTTTGACATTTATTCATCAATCTATTTTAATTTATGGTACGGGTAGTATATGTGCAGGGAAAATATGAAATAACGATTTTGAACTGTTTTATTTTGCTTAGTATTATCGGTTTTTTTTTTAATTCATGAAAAATTTTAAGGAAATGTTAGCATTTCATTATTTATTGCTAGTTATCAGTGTTTAAAATTCAAATTCGATTCTAAACTGGTTTAAAGTTTTATTGTGAATAATCAAATTGGATATAAAATGACATAATAATTGAACTGATTTAAAAGATGGAAATTAAATTATTTAATTCATTTGATTGGCTTACTTTTGAAAGAATTTGAAAAAGACATTTTGCATTTTAAAATCAACGGTCAATTTTGCATGAAATAAATTTGAATTTGTAAATAATCCAATAATTCTAAATCATTATGAAATAACAATAATAGGATATATATCATTTATTCCTTACAAAACCTTCTTTCCATCTTTTTTTTTTTGATTTCCTAAAGAACAATCAGAGTGAAGAGAGAGAGAGAGAAAGAATCTCTTCAGCTCGTTTACTGTTGATCGTAAATGAATTGTTCTCTTTTCCAGATGATTCATTTGATTTCCATTAAATGTTCTGATGACTGGGCCTTCTTCTACACTTCCTTTCCAGTAAGCCTTATGCATCGTTAAATTAATAATCTCCAATTTGACAAGATAAATCTCTCTTAGTCAAAATAGCGATAACACTTTCTTCCTCCCTTCCTCTCTCTGTCTCTCTCTTTCTCTTTCACTCATAATCGATTCATTTCATTTCTTTTTTTATGATTCAATTATTTAAAAAAAATTGGACACAGGAAAGAGAGAAATTCTTAAAATGTTATTTTCCTTGAATTTTACAGTATATTTTATACCTTGACCGGAATTAACCGATAATTTTTAATAGCTTTAACCGGAATTACTCAATAACTGTTAATAGCTTTAGACGGAATTAATCGATACTGTTGATAGGATTGCTTCAGGAAATGTGAATACATTAACTCTATAATTTCGATATATTTTCGAAATAAAAATATAAATTAAATATTCGGTTCAAAAAAGAAAAAATTTGAAAAGAAGAAATGGGAGAAAAATGGATAAATAATAATTGTATTTAAACGATAACCATTTATATTTCAATATTTTATAGGCAATAAGA